CTGTCTATTCAACACTTAGCAATGGCTAGTATATAATAGGTACTCAATATTTGTTGAATGGCTAAATACTAAGCCTGCTCATTAATACTTGTGGGAAACTGAGTAGTAAGAAACATCTTTAATAGATCAGAATTCCAATGGGAGAAACAATTAATATGTATATTTCCTATACTTTTTTTTAACTTCATATATTAATACCATACTTGGATAAGATGAATATAGGCTCTTTTGCTATACAAAGATAAGTATTCATGTTAATGCAGATCACATGGGTTTACTGTAACTGTGACCTTAAATAGGCAAGTAGTTTGCAATGTAATTATTGCTTTCCCCACCTCCTCCCCCCCCCCCCCCCCAAAAATCTACAGAATACCTATCTAAAACCAGCACTATCACTTCTTACAATGTGGTAACTATTTAACTGATTAAGACTTTTGAGTGCCCACTCATTTAGTTACCTAGGAATATATTTTGTATTTATGTTAAAGTCTAATTAAAAGAACTCAAACTGGGGCGCCTGGGTGCCTTCAGTTGGTTAAGTGTCCAACTTCGGCTCAGGTCATGATCTCACGGTTCATGAGTTCAGGCCCCAAGTTGGGATCTGTGCTGACAGCTGAGAGCCTGGAGCCTGCTTCAGATTCTGTGTCTCCCTCTCTCTCTGCCCCTATCCCACTCATGTTCCTTCTCTCTCAAAAATAAACAAACATTAAAATAAAATTTTTAAAAATCAAACAACTCAATAGGAAAAAAAAATCCCAGTAAAAAATGGGCAGAGAACCTAAACAGACATTTTTCCAAGGAAGACATATAGATAGCCAACAGACACACGAAAAGATGTTCAACATCATTAATTATCAGGGAAATGTAAATCAAAACCAGAATGAGATGTCACCTCACATCAGCCAGAATGGCTAGTATCAAAAGGACAAGAAATAACAAGTATTGGTGAGGATGTAGAGAAAAGATCCCTCATGTGCTGTTGGTGGGAATATAAATTGGCACAGCCACTATGGGAAACAGTATGCAGGTTCCTCAATAAATTAAAAACAGAAGTACCATATGATCCACCTATTCCATTTCTGGGTATATTTATCCAAAGAAATAAAAAATATTAATTCAAAAAGACACATGTACCCCATTATGTTCATTGCAGCATTATTTACAATAGTCAAGATATTTCAAGATATGAAAACAACCTAAGTGTCCATCAATGCATGAATGAATCAAGATGTGGTGTATATATACACAATGGAATACTACTCAGGCATAAAAAAAAAATGTCATCTTGCCATTTGTGGCATGGATGAGCCTTAAACATATTATGCTAAGTGAAATAAGCCAGACAGAGAAAAACAAATAATGTATGAGTTTGTTTATATGTAGAATGTGAAACAAATGAACAAACAAAACTCATAGGTACAGAGAACAGATTGATAGTTATCAGAAATGAAGAGGATTGGGGGGTGGGCAAAATAAGTGAAGGGAGCCAACTGTATGGTGACAGATGGTAACTAGACTGAATTCTGCTGACTGATCACTTTGTAGTGTATACAAATATCAAATTATGTCATAGACTTCAAATTGTTATATACCAACTTTACTTCAATTAAAAAAAAAAAAATGTTAAACTAGTGGCGCCTGGCTGGCTCAGCCGACAAGACTCTTGATCTCAGGGTTGTGAAGTCAAGCCCCACACAGGGTGTAGAGATTACTTACACGAAATTTAAAAAAAAAAAAAAAAAAAAGTTAAACTAACCAAGTGTAAACAAACAATGAAGCCTTTACAGATACTTTTTCATGGCTGATATGGCCAAATGGTATAAACTGCTTTATGATTTTAATAGGCTCACATTACCAGGGATATTTCCTATGGTATTTTTTCAAACTGCAGATTTTGCCTAACTAGATGAAGATCGAGACCAGCATAAAAAAAGAAACAGACTAGCACAGAAAAATCTCAGAATGGATCCCTATGGTAAAGTTGAGTACAGCTTAGTGAAACTTTTGTTTTGGGATATACAAATACACACAAACTGAGTCACAATATAAAATGTATTTCTGATTGTAGATTGTAGTAAGAAACATTTTGGAAAATGCTGTTTCATGCTTTCCGTAGAATCTAGATCCATCTCTGCAGATTTGGGGACATTCCATTGTGGTACATGTCTTTACCAAGTTCAACTTTCACAAAAAGAATGACAATCTTATTCCAAACACGGCTCCTAAAGCATATGATCACACACATTAACTAGTTCTTCAGATAAATGTCTAGAAGTAAAACTCATTGGTATTTAAAACCTATTAAAAGATGACTTGAGAAACAGTATTCACCACAACTCCCTAACAGAACTTTCTGCAATAATAGAAATGTCCAAGCTACCCTTTTGGACAATACAGATATAGAGCATTATGCCTTAAAGTGTGGCCCATGGATCGCAATAATCGTCTGAATCACGTGGGGATTTCTTAGAAATGCAGAATCATAGGTCTGACTCCAGGTATAATGAATCAGAATGACCTGCCAATTCATGTGTACAATGCAAACAATCTAAAGGACTAGCTATCAATGGGCACATTACCACTGAGCACTAGCATCCTAGTGGAAGTTTATGGGATACTTTGGTTATAGCAATTACAGGTAGAGTAATGCTGGCTTTACAGATAAGCAATACACAGAGCAGATCTACAAACCAAAGAGCTAGTATCCCAAACAACATTCAAATATCCTGGCAGACATTGACATTTAACCAATTTTTGCACAATTTTAATATACTCTGAATTTTCCAAAACTACATGTAAATTGAAAAAATATAGTTTTAGTCCAGAACTGTCCTAAGCATTGTTCATTTCAGAGTAACTTAATAGCTTACATTTAGAATTGTTACATTCCCACTGATACTAGGTGGAAGTTCAATTATCAGACTTCATTATGTAGTTCCATTTGGGCTAAAATATTTTTTCTAAAAATTACTTCCCTCTAATTTCCCTAATTATTCTATTATTACTTCTTTTATTCTCTGGTTAGGGTATTTATTAATTTTTCTTTAAAAGGGGATAAGCAAGTTATGTTACCCAGCAATTTCACTTCAGGATAAGAATGTACAAGGATACATTTTCTTTTACACATGGGGTGCTATGTCTGACAGACTTATGAACCACTGACTTGGGGTGCCTGGGTGGCTCAGTCAGTTAAGTGTCAGACTCAATTTCAACTCAGATTATGATCTCACAGTTTCATGGGTTGGAGCCCCACATCGGGTCTACACTGGCAGTGAGGAGCCTGCTTGAGATGCTCTCCCCATCTGCCCCTTTCCTGCTTGCGCTCTCAAATAAATAAAACTTAAAAAAAAAAAAAATTAAGAACCACTGACTTAATGATTTATGCACCCGATACCATCTTCCTAAATCAAGAGCCCTTAATTTGGAGATACAAGGACACTCAGGCTAGTTAATCCATGGAGTGGCTTCAGGTCAACAGGACTCCCAAATACTACATACGATTTGATATGTACGTATAGCTACTCTGGGATGGTAACACATAACTTTGCTCCATCAAAAACCGTTACATTAAGAACCATTACTTTACACCCTGAGACTCTTATGTCTTGGGCTGGGTTATATAAACTTGGCTCTCAAATGTGGTTGAGGCCCCTACCCAATTACATTTATGGAACTACAATTTGCATCACTTCATCAGCTTACATTGACAAACAAATCCCATAAAATAATTACTACGGTATGTCAGTCGCTACATGATGTACACTACAGGTATTCTTTTATGAAGACCCACGGAAGAAGGTTACTATTCATTCCTTCCACATTCACAATGAACCAGGCACTGCACTATACACTGACCACACAACTGTCTTACAACCGCCCTCTGATACAGGGATCACTTGTATCACAGATGAGAAAATGGACTTCAAGAGCTCAACAAACTTGACTAGTTTTAGGTATCTAATAGATGGCAGAACTAGAATCTGAACTCAAGCTGTCAGACTCCAAAGCATGTGTGTGCTTTTCTGGAGCAGGTAGCTGTTTTTTTCCTTTAATCATTTTATGGAGTATGTACTGGCTCCTGTCTTCCTTTGGCATAGCCTGTTAAATTACTTACAGCACAAATTGTGGCCACAAATGGGAGTTGCCCAAGCATATTAGCATCTCCGAGTTACTTGCTTCTCCCTTTTATTTGGTCACTAGATTGACTTTATGGGATGAATGCATTTTACATTGCTAACTTTACTTTTGGCTTAATTTTTTCTTCCATTTCCCTCCTTTCTTCATTCTTCTACTTCCTGTAATAAAACAAGGAACAAACAAATGCACACACGTGCTGCTTTAGATAATACAGTAAGTATATTAGTAAGATAGTCCCACAGAGTACAAGCTTTCTTAGATAATTCAAAACCACTTTGCAATCATTTTTACAATTAAAAACACCAACTATCACTTTGATAGTGAGTACATAAGCTCCAGCATTTTCCAGTTGGAGAAAACTCCGGTTACTTTGCTTTCAAAAGAGCAGTAAGTCTTAATATGCAGATAAAACAGTGTTTGAAGCCATGGACAAAAAGTAGGGAGGTCAGTTGGGATGTCATTTAGTATAAAAAGCCAAAGGGACAATTAGGAGAAAACAGCATAGACTCAGAAATTGTGTGAGTGGAAGGTGAAAGAAAGTAACAACGCAAATCACATTTAATTGTGTTGATAATAAAGCTTTGATCAAGTGGGGATGGAGCTAGAGGTTTGCTAGAGGTGAAAAGGAAGTTGAAAGAGGATAAGATATTTGGTTTCTGCCAGTAACATCATCACCACAAAACATTTAGGGTAAGGGTAAGGATCAAACTTAAAAAAAAAAAAATCTTTTTCAATTAAGATTAGAAATCTCCAATTCAGCAAATATCTTAGGCTTCGCAGGCTACACAGTCTGTCACAACTAGCCAACTCCGCCATTGTAGCACAAAAACAGCCACAGACATACATCAACAAATGGATGAGGCTATGTTTTAATAAAACTTTATTTACAAAACAGAATGCAGACCAAATATAGCCTATGAGTTGTAGTTTGCTGACCCCAACATGAGAGGTCCAGTAGGCAGGGAGACACAGATCTGAAGCACAAGAGGAAGGTTATACCTAAGGACAAATACTTGAAGTCACTGTCACAAATAAAGTGACAGAATGGATAACCTAAGAAGAAATGGAACGCATTAATATTTATAGACAGAAACTTTATAAAGAGCAGCACTTTAAAAAAAGCATGAGGAGGAGGTCAATAATTAGTGGTTTCCTGAAAGAAGAAAAAGCATGTGAAATGAAAACTCATGATTCCCTTAAAGGTCATTCTGGCTCAATTACAAATTCCTTATGCTTGAAAAAGCACAGGACACTGCAGTATTTAACCATAGTCATTATCTGAAAGGCAGTGCCAGAACACAGAAAAAGCCCCAAATGTGTGTGTAATACACTTAATGCCTTGACATGAGACAACGCAGAGCAGGGTCAAGTTGGAACAATATCTTATGCCTCATGTATTTTATAGTGTATCCTGTACCAAAACAAAACACACAGGCATTTCACGGAAACCATTTACTTAAAACAGAGTCAAAGATTGAAAACAAATATAACGGAAAAAAAAAAAGCGCTTAAAAACAAAACCAAATGCCAAGGGGAAAAGGTTATAAAAATATATAGATGTGTTTGGGAAATGCTCTCATTTTAAAAATTATGGAGTTAAATTCATTACACTGCTTAAAAATAAAACAGGGTCCAGTATCAATGTATTTGATTCAAGCTCTTTCAACGTTTACAGGTCTAAAATAGAATTACTAGCTTATTGCTTGTCTTTGGGAAAAACTACTTGTAATTATAACAATGTTGGCTCATTAGAAGAAAGTAATGCAATTAAAAACGAATCAGAAAGATATCATGAGGACCAAAACTGAAAACTTGCAAAGAAGCACTACAGGACACAATTACAAAACTGATGATAATTCATGTATGTGGTTTCAAACAGTCTGGTGTGGAAGAGGGAAAGAAGAGTAAGTGCCACTTAGCTAAAGAACAGAAAACTGTTTTCTTTACACACAGCAAAAAAACACAGTATACAAAGATAAGACAATTTACAGTGGGGACTATAAAGGCAAAAATTACAAGGAAGGAAAGCAGGCAGGCAGTCCTCCAATAAGGCATACATTCACACAATGGATCACTAGACAAAGAATAAAAACAATGTTCTGTATGTGCAATTCAAGGTAAAAATGTCCAGAATTCTTAAATGAGAAAATGCTACCAAAATGATCTGTGTCCAAAGAAAAGTTACACACATGTGCACACACGTGTCTGGTGTGTGCACAGAAATTTAGACATTTACTAGAAATTTGAGAAAAGAGAGAAAAAAGAGTGGGTTTGAACAAGAAAGGAAATTTTCACCTTCTACCTTTCTGTAGTCAAAATACAATAAGCATGCATTGTTTGGTCAAACGTGAAAGGAAAAAAACACTTTAGGTATTTTGGGGAGGTGGCTAGAGGATCTATACAACCATGCCAATGTAGACACAATCACATTTAAAATGTTTCACAATACTCAGTATGTTAAATGAAAGTTGTAATTATTAAAAAGTAAAATCACATAACCAAAAAAGAACCAAATTTTTCTTGGACAAGCATAGATTTCAGTAATATAAAAATTAAGTCTTGCAAAAGCTGTTCTTTGCCTGCAAGGGTTTAGTCCTACCTAGTGTGATGTTCACTCATGGTTAAACCACCTCACCTTCTATGTACCTCCAGACTACTAATCCCTAGTAACAGAGACCCTAGGAGTTCTATTTCAGTAACAAAAACTGTAGAACCTTATGGAGAGATCTGTTTATTTTTAAGACATGTCTGCTTTTAAAAGTTTGAAGCAGAGTCTAGTTCATTCTGTTTTCTATTGTTAGGCCCCTCACCTAGAACACAACAAATGTAACGACTCAATACATATCTTGGGGGCGGGGGGGCGGGGTGGATAGGAAACGTAGGAACAGAACCTCTGTGCAAAACTATGAGGAATTACAAGCTCTGAATTAAAAGAAACAGGACAAGATTAAAATGTGAAAATTGGTTCCTCTCAATTAAAAAGAAAAACCTAGTACCACATGTGATCGCATGCCTGCAATTTCATTTCTTGCTTCTAGCAATGGAATAGCAACAGGAACACTGAAGTATAAACTACCCAAGGTAACTAGGAAGGCTGCCTAATGTCTACTTTGGAATTCATAGTAAGCAGGATACCACACAGTATTATTTAAAGATGCTACAGTTTAGAAATGAAATTTTGACACCAAGTCCAATAGTTGTGAGGAGATGAATAACAAACCTAGTTGTTTTAGGGAAGGATGGGCAAATGAGCTGGCCTTGGCTCCTGAGGAAAACCACCTAAGAGTAGTGTTTCTCAAATTATATGTGAAGGACCAGTTTCAACGCCTAAATTGCTGTCAAAAACATTTTTGTAAAACACGTTTTCAAAAATTACTAGAAAAATGATAAACTTTAATGCAACAGCAATATCAAATTGCTGTAGAAATTTCTATACATTCTCAATTTCTAACTGGTGCACAGAGACACTGGATTGCAATGACCCAGTGTTTTGTTTTTTAATGTCAATCTGATCTAAAATCTTGCATTTGTCTAGAATCTGACTCTTGAGTGAGAAAACTCAGTTGTTTTTTCCCCCTCCTAAATAATGAAGACACTCCGTAACAATTAGAGATAAAAAGTAGCACAGAGACTTGTCGTTAACTTGTTTTAATTTTAAAATGTAAAACATCGCATTATCACACTGCCTTAGAAAATTATCCTTTTAAATGCAAACTATGGTATTTAAGAACCTTTACTCCTATCAACTTGAAAATTTTGCTTTATTTTACCATTTATTTTAGAAGATAACAGGATATAGACACTTAAAAGTTGTATATGAAAATATCCACTTAACTGATACAACTGAACAGTATCTGTGAACTCCTGTATCTTTTTCTCCACATTCTCAAAACTCCTTCAGATGATTAATTTAGTTGATTGCTAACAGAGTGAGCCTAGGGAGACTGTCTATTTTACGTTTTCATTACCAAAGGAAATAAAATGTAAGTAAAAGGCCTGGCCTATAAAATGACTACAATCTGATGTGATTTACCACAGACTTTAAGATAGGCTCTACACTATTAAGAGTATGATGTGATTTACAGGGTCTCTGGAATGAAATCCACACTTTGCAATTTACAAGCTGTACAGTGACTTACGTCCTCACTGCTTCTGTTTCATCTATAAAATAGGGATAACAGCACCTACATCAAATAATTACTGTGCAGGTTAAAGTGCATGTAAAGTGCTTAGAACACTGTCTGGCACAAAGTAAGTATTACATAAGTATTGTAATTACTTAATTCTTATACAGTATGTCTCAAATCCTTCTGTAGAATTGGATTAACAATTAAATTGGTTAAATATGTCACACCCTACAATTAATTACAATTCTTCTGTTAAAAGATTTTAATTCTCTATTATGAAAATATATTTATTTATAATATCCTGTTGGACAGGGAGAAAAAAGTTAGAAAAATCATATAGTCTAATCTTATATTTAGAAAAGACGCTAATGAAATTATGAAAAGTTGCAAGTCACTGTAATACTTAGGTGGCATCTGCCAAAAGTGACTCAGTAATTTATCATCCTCCCCACCCACTGGGAAAAGACTTAAAATAAAACTGATTATGATTCTAAAATGGTAATGATAAGGATAATCAAATGCTTGTTATAAACCAGGTTTTTTAAAATTCAGAAATGTGTACATTTAATGCATTATTCCTCCTCCACTCCTGAAAGCTGATGCTTCTTCAAATGGACTGCATCTTAGAATTAAGGAACTAGAGCATTAATTTCTAATAGATATACTACTCCAATCCCACCCATTGCCAACACACCACCATCACTTATAAGCAAGCTCTTGAAGTGCTCACAACTACACATATCAACACAGACAATAAATCATTTAACCAAGCACCCAAGCTTAAGCAGCAGATATTAGCTATAGTCTAGTGAGATTATAAACACAAGAGATTCAGTGTTTCTAGAATACTGAACAAGAGGTGTCTGTGGTATTGAGAGTACTCAGATGGTAGCCTGTGGCACCCTTTAAACTGAAGTTTTAAAATTCTTCAATGAAGTCAATACTATTAATTTTATGTTTACTTTATATGAGTTTTGTCAAACTTTTCAGTTCTTAAATGATTAATTCATAATGACTATTTAAACACAAATTTTCCTCTCATCTAATCATTTTCATTCTATCTAGAAGTTTAGCTTATTCTTTTGTCTACAATAGCCATTTCATTTTACTGCATCTGAAATACACAACTATATACAACATTTTTCAAATGTGCTTTCAAATGCCTACAAAGAGTAGATCACGTTTCAAATTTACATAAAACCGTACTACACCAATTTACCAATATAAATATAAGTCTTCGTACCTGTTTATTCCATTCTATTTAGACAGCAACACTAACAAAATTCTTAATGTATATGCCCCCATCACCTGTACTCTTTCCCTATGCTATCATTTTGACACTTAGAAAAGAACATCTCAATTCAGCAACCAAGTTTTACAACTACCATTCCTACCAATCAAATGGTAATGCACCAAGATAACAATTCTCTTGTGTTTTAATACATTAAGAGTACATTATTTACCTATGACTGAAGGACTATGCCTTCCTTTATAAAAAAACAAAGATAGTCACATCAATTTAATTCCATATATATGATGCTACCTATTCAATTTATTAAAAATTATAATAAACATAATAAACTAGTGCTCCAAACTTATGCTGTTCACGTGGAAGACACTATAAGACACAATAGAGACTGCCTGGCAATAAGAAATACAAATTCCTTCTATAGAGATGGAGAAATAAAAGGACAAATCTAGTTGTCTAAAAGACAATTCACTGTACACATTTTATTTACAGTTTTGTACACTGTCTTAATATGAATGGGACCGCTTTTCTACTTGAGCCATTTTTTAACCAAAGCAAAACAACCTAAGTAATACAAAGTGTTAAAATACAGCATAAAGATACAAAAACATACTAATTCTAATTAGGAATGTAATTATGATGTTACATTTTTTTTTTTATAATCCACAATTATGTTTAGGAAATCACACAAACATAGATCACTGATTTGAATGAAATGCATAAATTTGTAGCAAAGCTTTGCAGTTACAAAAAAACAAAAAAATTACCAAAGAATGCACAAAATTAATGTTTATTCCACCTTTGTGTCATATTCCTGGATCCTTCACCAATGTTACATGAGGAAAAAAACAAAAGCAAAACAAATGAAAAACTGAAATCAGAATCACTAATGTTATCAAGTAGGGAAACAAATAAATTAAAATCTAGCAGCCATCAGCAAGAGTACAGCAAAGACAATGCTGTAAAAAGAAAAAGAAAATTGCTAGAAAACTGTATGCATCATACTCTTTCAAACCAGCAAAATATGCTCCTGCATACAATGGAACATAAACAGAATTTTTTCCTTTAAGGTATAGAAATGCAAGTTCTTTTTTGAATATTGTGGATGGGTAAAATGTGTTTATAATGGTAATTCTACTAAGCTATTACAGAGTGGGCCAGGAACACATTCATGGATTCTGGGGATGATGTGTACTGTAATTCTTTGATTGGGATAATGGACACTCTAGCCAAAAAAAAAAAAAAAGTGAACACAGAAGTACAAGACAAAGGCGAATGAGACTTCTCTTATATCTTAGCAACATTTAGATGGAAATCAAATTTAAATGCAGTCCACTCTGCTTTGGAAGAGGCTTTGGTTCAGCTCCCAAATCTCGATTGCTTGACGCAGTCTCCTATGAGAATACTCAGAAGGTGTCTTCTTAAACAACAAACCTATTTTTAGTGGTGGAGCCGCTCTTAGTAGCTGTGTCTGCATGGGACTGATAACCAATCACTATCTTTGGAGGAAGTCCTAACCTTTCTTTGTATACCCTCCTAGAAGAAGCAAAAGAAAAAAGGAGCTGTTAATTTTTATTCACACACACCAAATTCAGATTATTCTTTATATATAAAAAATATCTAGAGAGTGAAACAGGACATTGCATGCACTTTTCCTTTCAACAAAATATACTCTTCATTTCCACAACAATCTTGGCTAATCACTTAAACAATATTTGAGATTCTATTGTGTTATCAGGATGTTATCAGGCATTGTAATTATTAATAAATCAATAATAAGCAAAGTATGGACAGTTCCTGGGTGTTTATAGTATTTGATTATTTATAAACAAATAATCCCACATACACAGGGTAGAGCTATATCACATGCATAATTTATATAAAATTAATGCCTACATAGGTCTACTTTAATTCTCTCTAAAATGCTACAATTATATTTTTCATATAACACATAATAAATATTGTATGATACTGCAAATTACATTTATCATACTTATTACTTTATGGCATTGAGGGTAATTTACATACATGATTTCTGCCTTATATACTAACTCTGCAACCTACTTTCCAAATAACATGTGACTCTATTTTAAGAATAAACTATGATGAGTGCCAAAAGTGAGTAAGTATAGGGGTTGTGATACTAACAAAGATGATCTAAACAAAGATGATCTAATCTTATCTTTGAAATTAGAGAAAGTGCCCCTTTAAAAGTCACGAGGTGGGGCGCCTGGGTGGCGCAGTCAGTTAAGCGTCCGACTTCAGCCAGGTCACGATCTCGCGGTCCGTGAGTTCGAGCCCCGCGTCGGGCTCTGGGCTGATGGCTCGGAGCCTGGAGCCTGTTTCCAATTCTGTGTCTCCCTCTCTCTCTCTGCCCCTCCCCCGTTCATGCTCTGTCTCTCTCTGTCCCAAAAATAAAATAAAAAAACGTTGAAAAAAAAAAAATTTAAAAGTCACGAGGTTAAAAGTAAAATGCTGAGAAAATGAAACACATCTGAAGGCTGGGGAACAAAAATAAGGCTGTGTGGCGACAGTCCTTAAGGAAGAAAATATGAGCAAAAAGGGTGACAAGGTAAAACTGGGGACAGATCATAGAGAGCATGACAGGTAAATTTAGGAATATAGATATTTATTCTAAAGAAAAAATAGCAAAACTTCAAAAATAAACACCAAAATAAAATAAAAGGGATATATATTTTCATGGAGCTAAATTCTCCAATAGGATACTAGGGCAGTTTTATTCATACTCCACCTTCCAGAAGATTCTACCTTCCTTCAAATAAAGGTCCTAAAAATAATTTCATGATAACTAAAATTATAACTATTATCAGATGTATATTATGAAACAATGTGTTCTTTTCCATTATACATAATCATTAAAAATGCCAGAAAGCCAGAGCACTGCATTGAGCCATATAACTTGGAAGAATAAAAAAATAAAAAAAATTAAAAAAAATCTTCCCAGGGCACCTGAGTGGCTCATGAGGTTAAGTGAAGGACTGACTTGATTTCGGCTCAGGTCATCATGATCTCGCAGCTCCTGAGTTTGAGCCCCCAGTCTCACTCTGTACACTGACCACGTGGAGCCTGCTTGGGATTCTCCCTCTCTCCCTGACCCTTCCCTGCTCGTGTTCTTGGTCTCACTCAAAATAAATAAATTAATTAATAATCTTCCCTTGAAAAACTGAAGTCAAATGTTTTACAAAGATTTCAATAATTTTTAATATTGACACAAATACAAGATTTTCACAGGAAAGAAATTCATGCTCATTTTTTTTTTTTATTTTTTTTTCAATGTTTTATTTATTTTGGGGACAGAGAGAGACAGAGCATGAACGGGGGAGGGGCAGAGAGAGAGGGAGACACAGAATCGGAAACAGGCTCCAGGCTCTGAGCCATCTGCCCAGGGCCCGACGCGGGGCTCGAACTCACGGACCGCGAGATCGTGACCTGGCTGAAGTCGGACGCTTAACCGATTGCGCCACCCAGGCTCCCCAACATGCTCATTTTTTTAATTGATTTCCAACATGAAATCCCCACAACTATTAAGTTTTGATGCTGACAGAAAGATTAAGAATATGATGACAAATTGGGGCACTGGGGGGCTCAGTCAGTTAAGCATCTGACTCTTGATTTCAGCTCAGGTCATGATCTCACAGTTCGTGGGATCGAGCCATGCGTGGGGCTCTGCGCTGACAGGACAGGGCAAAGCCTGCTTGAGATTCTCTTTCTCCCTCTCTCTCCCCTCTCCTGCTCATGCTTTCTCTCAAAATAAGTATTAAAAAAAAAAAAAAAAAGAACGTGATGACAAATTAACAGTCAACTTCTTTTACTGAAAACCTCTGTAGAACGAAACCTGGAAAATCCCC